GCAAAGGTGTATGGGTTACGTCTCTCCTGTTGTTGATGTACATCATCTCCATAAGCATCATTTATTGACAGTAGGCTGGAGTGCCAATGCAGTGCAGCAGAGGGGGAGAAATGGGGAGAGACAGATTAAGCAAGAGGGGGCAAACATGGCTCTTGGTAGAAAGGAGCAAGGTGCATGGTCTCTTACAGATAGTGGCACACCCGGCGTCCTCATAGACCTCAGGCTCCCAATGAGGACCTCTGTCTGCACTCTTCCCTCCCAGGCCGACGTTTTTAGACATCCCTGCTTATTTGAGTTTTTCTCCTTTTTAAAGACTACGTTTCAGGGGCCAGCGCCATGGCTGAGTAGTTAAAGTTCCACACCCTCCGTGTTGGTGGCCCCGGTCCGCAGATTTGGATCCCAGGCGAGGACCTACTCCACTCATCAGCCATGCTGTGGAGGCCTCCCACGTACAAAATAGAGGAAGATGGGCACAGATGTTAGCTCAGGGCTAAAGAAGAAGACTGGCAATGGATGTTAGCTCAGGGCAAATCTTGCTCAGCAGAAAAAAACAAAAACAAAAAAACCTGTGTTTCACAGACTTGATGAGTATCCACTTGGCAAGGTTTTTTTCTAACCTTGTCACCTACTTTTTCCCCCTCTTGCTGTCTTGTCTCCCTGGCTGGTGCCCTTCCATTAGCACCAGCGTTTGCTTGTCACAACCCAGGTTGCGGGGCCGTGGGCACGTCTGTGCGTACGATCACAGCTAATGGAAGTTCTGACGTTTTTACCCAGGAAGGAGGAGCCCAGCGTGCCTGCAGCCGTGACCCTGGCCACTAATTCCGCCTACTATAGCACGTCGGCCCCCAAGGCGGAGCTGCTGATTAAGATGAAAGATCTGCAGGACCAGCAGGAGTCCGAAGAGTCTTCAGGGAGTGACTTGGACCACGACCTGTCGGTGAAGAAGGTAGGAAAGCCGAATACCAAATGAGAGCGTGCTCGTCAGCGGACAGGGCAGCGCACGTCCCCACCCCCAGGGTGGGCCCTGTGCCACATGTCTGTGGGCGTTCGTCTTCAGCTTTATGCAGAACGGTGACATTTGGGGCAGTGGTAGTCAGCCCTTTGTGGTTAAGTCTTCTGTTCTAAAATTGGGCCTTTCCACCAGGGTCTCTGTGCCATCCTTTTGTAATGAGATCCAGTGTCAAACTAGTTAAATGGGCACCATCTCTTTCATTTTAACGTCAACTGATGTGTCCCTTCTGTCCCAACTAAAATCCAGGGGACTTAAGTGCATGACCGTCAGCAAGTCACATGTCCTCTTTGAATATCAAGTTCAAATATTTGTAATCAGATGATCGTAAATCCAGTAGTGAATCGGAAAGTGCTTTGTCAATCAAAGAGAATCATTTGTTCAGCTCCAAGAACTCGCCCGGGCACTTGAGGCT